CATATGAAGTATTTGGATCTATTGCACATAGACATGTTCGAGATCAGTTGAGAAAAAAACTTGATAACAAATCGAGTCAGGTGATCCTAGTAGGATATCTTTAGACATGAGGTTACAAGTTGTTCGGCCCAGTGAACAAGAAGATTATGATCAGCAGGGACGTGATCATAGATGAACTTAAAGAATGAGATTAGACTGAAAATGTCAATAAAGATTCGGTGAGAATCTTACTTGAAGAACCAATAGAAACTCAAGTCAAAAGAGAAGTTCGAAAAGAGGAAGACGTTAGAGATCAACCAAGTACAAGCAGACCTCAGAGAACAAGACACATGCATGTAAGGCTGCAATATTGTGTGATTACATTAGATGATATGATTGATAACAAAGGTGAGTTGGTATATTATGCTTTCTATGTAGATGTCGAACTAGTTAATGCAGTCGAAGCATTGAAGGATTTGAAGTGGGTGAAAGTAATGAATGAAGAAGTGAAGTCCATCGAGGCAACAACACTTGGTCACTTGTCGAATTGCCTTAAGGCAAGAAGGAAATTAATATCAAGTGGGTATACAAAGTGAAGATGAATCCCAAAAGGGAAGTAACTTGACACAAATGAAGGCTTGTGGCGAAATTATTTCTCCAGAAAGAAGAAATAGACTTCAATGAAGTTTTTGCACCTGTTGCTAGAATCGAAACAATCAGGTTGGTTGTTGGTATAACAGATATAAACAGTTGGAACATATGTTAGATGGACGTAAAGTATGCATTATTAAATGGACCCTTAGATGAATAAGTTTATATTAAACAACCAGTTGGGTTTGTGAAACATGACGAAGAGAGAAAGGTGTACAGGCTGCATAAAGCCATATATGGATTAAAACAAGCTCCAAGAGCTTGAAATAAGAAGATTGATAGTTTCCTAAGGGAGAAGGAATTTGTGAAGTGCACAACTGAATATGGAGTATATGTAAAAAGAATGAATAGTGAATTGCTTATACTATGTCTCTATGTAGATTACTTGTTAATAACAGATAGCTGCAAGAAGAAGATCGAAGACTTCAAAGGTGATCTTAGCAAGGAATTTGAAATTTCTGGTCTGGGTGACATTTCATATTTCCTTGGCATAAAATTCTACAATAGTAGTAGAGGTTTGATGATGCGTCAAAGAAGATATGCAGGAGAAATTCTCGAGATATTTGAGATGAAAGAATGCAACTCGACTTCGACACCTGCACAACCAAGACTGGCCCTATCGAAAGATTCAGAAGAAGATGATGTCGATCCAACCCAATACAGTAGCTTATTGGGTCATTAAGATACCTTTGTCACACGAGTCCTGACTTAACATACAGTGTAGGTATGGTAAATAGATTCATGCAGAATCCAAAGGTATCACATATAGAAGTGGTGAAGAGGATACTAAGATATCTCAAAGGAAATCTCGACTATGACATTTTGTTTCTTGTAGCTGATAAAGGAAAAGAATGTAAGTTAGTGGAGTACACTGATTCGAGTTGGTGTAGTGATGTTGAGGATCAAAAATCCACAGCAGGATATGTGTTTATGCTAGGTGGTGCACCAATTGATTGGAGTTCGAGAAAGGAACCAGTAGTGGCATTATCATTGTGCGAAGCAGAAGACATAGTTACTTCTCTTTGTGCATGTCAAGCAACATGGATGGTGAACTTGGTCGAAGAGATAACAGGTAAAGATCATGGAGCAATTACCATGAAGATCAACAACATGTTAGCTATCAATCTAGCAAAGAATCCGATAGCACACGATTGAAGTAAGCACATCAAAATGAGGTTCCACTATCTTCAAGAGCAGGTAGCAGATGGATAGATGAACTTGGAACACTACAGAACTGAGAATCAGATTGCAGACATCGTGACAAAAGGAGTGCAAGTCGAAGCATTTTGAAGACTACGGGATATGATGAATATAAATAGCTTAGACACAATGAATTAGGTGGTATGTTGAAAGTATAATTCCTTGTGTCGAAGTAGCGTGCTCGACAGAAACAAGGAAGTATCGAAAAGATTATATCGAAGTGTGGAAACAGTTTGTTACACACATATTTGATTTAGATCTAAAATAGATAGATTTTATTTAGGTCGTAAATAGATAGATTTGATTTAGTTCCAAAATAGTTATTTTGGGCTTTTATAGTTTTGGGCTTTTGGCTTAGGGGGCAAGCTAACCTATAATTATAAATAGAGGGAGTAACCCCTATTTTTTGTAATCAATCAAGTTGTATTCACATAGTTTACAGTTTTAAGTGAATAAAGAAGTTTTCCATAATTTGTGGGCATAGAGAAACTCTGTAAAAAAATATTTTTTTTCTTTCTCCGTCTTTTATTTTTTTCATTGTCATGTGGTGATATCAATCTTGTTCATCAAGTTTGGTAGAAATTCATCATAGATTTTGATGAATTTCAAACCAAGGGAAAAAAACATAGACCCCCTGATCCATGCATATGTGCCATTTGTTTTGATGTTGGGGCATCACCTTGAGGAGTTCAAGTGACTTTGGCATCGTCCTTCCGGAGACTTAAGTGTCCTGCTGGAAGAATTAACATCTCACCCCCCAAATTATACATGTTACCCCCCATATTTCATTAATCCCAAAATTCCCCTTTCACTATTTACTCTAAAAAATTTACATTTGTAAAAAAAAAAATTACTATTGGTTAAAGTGGGTCAAAACGATATTTCCGATACGCTGACCAAATTTTCGGTACCCCAATTTTGGTGTATACAGGAAATACTTTGCATTACACAAATTTCCGGTTGCGAAAAATCGGAAATTTCTAAATTTCCGGGTTTGATTCACCACAAATTTCTAAATTTCCGGGACGATTTCCAAAAGTCATTGCAATAAACCGGAAACTACATAAATTTCGTGAAGGTGGCGTAACACCGAAAATTTCAAATTTTCATGTAATCGGAAATTTCAGTTATGTCTGAAATTTCCAGTATGCTTGCAGATGAAATTTTATGCATTTGCGGTACATATAGGGAAGACAATTATCGAAAATTTCAAATTTACGGTACCGGAAATTTCAAATTTCCGATTACATGCATTCGCCACATTAAAAGTGTAAATTAAACGAAGTTTCTGATATTCTATCGAAAATTCTGGTACAAAATCGTGAATTTCCAAAATTCCGATATTTTGCAGGGACTTATCGCTAAATTTTTCATTGATGGGGGTGGCATGTATAATTTGGGGGTGAGATATTAATTCCTTGTCTTGCTGCAACTCCAGAAGTCTAACATGTTATTGTCATTCTTGATGTTTTTTCATGACGCCCCTTAGACACCTCACTACTTTGTATGTATGTAGACCATTCGGCTAGGCACATGTGGGATGGAGAGGTAAAATTAATATGTATTTATTCTTTTAAACATATTTATTATAAGATTTGAACTTTCTGACTTTGGTGTATTTTTTTACAGCACTGTGAGACGTTAAAATGTACTAACCACTGTAGAAAGATTGTGAAACTGTCGCAACATGATGAACCATGGTTTCAAGATTTCATGCAGCTATCGGAACTACAAGATTTATGCAGGATTGGGTATACTTTTATCAATCATGGCTTGTTGTCTGCTTTCGTGGAGATATGACACTCAAAGACGTTAGCATTTCATGTTCTGATCGGTGATATGTCCATCACAATTGATGATGTGTCATTCCTTCTACGTCTTTTGATCACATATAGATTATTAAACTACTCCTGAATCATTAGACCTGATACACTGAACATAATGGTGCAATATTTGGGAGCTAACTCAACTCAGGTGATGCCCAATTGGAGATAAATGACATCAAAGAATGTCATCCTAGATTTGAATTTTAGGAGAACTTATACGGATACGACATGTATGTTTCAGTAAAAGTTGATGGTGATGGTGCACAAGTTGTGTATCATAGAATATGTGTGTTGAGGTCATGCATCATGTATTTGGTTGACACATCCATATTTGTGGACAAAAATGCATATTATGTCAATATCGTCTATCTAAGATACTTCATTAACTTGAAAAGATTCATGAGTCAATTGAAAGACTTCTTATTTAGTTTATCTTTACTCCAAGTTAAGTAAAACTCGTTTATGAAAGACTAGACATATGGCAACAAACAACACACTATTTAACGTTATTTAAGATAATATATTTACACTTTTGTTATTACTAATATTTCATAGCATTTATACTACGTCGTTAGTATTGTTTCAATTGAACTATTTAAGGCGTGAATCCTACGGTACTTTCCCCATCTCACTGGCTACACATATGTGAATGACTACAACGAGAGTTTGCAATGTGTTTGCTCCTTTATATCACTCAGAAGGAATCAATTGATCAACCCATTATGAGTTTATCTTAACCGTATTACATCGTTCCGAATTTATCTTTATTGTATCACATCAAATGATAAAATATTTACATTGTACAACGATCACTGTGAGACACGCCCCTTCTATAATATATCTTTCTACATCGAATACCAGACGTGTGGATCAAGCCAGAAGCATAAATGCTACGTTGTTGATATGAATGCAACAAGTTTATTAATATATTCCTAATGCATTAGATTTATCAATCAAGAGAAATTTCATCTAAAATGTAAGAGTTAGAGAGTCAAAATAACACAAACAATTGGGGACTTTTAAAAAACAAGGAGTGTTAGATACTTTATAAGATAGTTTTTCATATACAAAATTAAAATTGAAGATATTATAATAATATTCTAACCGAGAAATTTCCATATTGTAAAAACTATTTTATGGAAGGACCGTTGTTATTAAAATGTATCGTAATAAAAATTGAAGGAAAAATTTTGGTGACTTACAAGAATTTTTTAAAAATGAAAAACACAACTGAAACGAAAAACCGAAAACCAATTATGATTTTGTTTAAAATTTGAAAAGTTAAAACTAATAAGAGACAGAATCGATGATAAAATTGTGGTCGTGGACAAGATTTGAATGCATTTAAGATGCATTCTTCAATACCCATTCCACTAAAGTTGATACACCAAATCCTGTTGCACAACGCTGCTTTTCATTCCACACAGGACCAGCTAAATCAATATGCATCCATTGAACCTTTTCGTCAACAAACTGCAAAATCACAACATAGAAAGTCAAAATGGAGTATATAGCATATAGATATTATGATTACTACAATGCTTGCAATTGAGCATTATGTTAATGAGAAAGTCACAATATAATGATTAACCATATAGTACCTGCTTTAAGAAAAGAGCGGCAGTGATAGCACCACCTTGTCGACCACCAGTGTTCACCATATCAGCAACTCCAGATTTCATTGATTCCCAATAACTTTCTTCTATTGGCAACCTCCATAGTTTCTCCCCACTCACTTCAGAAGCATCAAAAACTTCCTTAGCCAGCTCCTCGCTGGATGTAAATGCACCTTTAAAAACATAGTTAGCATTAGTAATTATCTCATAAATGAAACAACTTAAACTTTGAAGCTGATAATACCTGCAATTGAGGGTCCTAAAGCAATTATACATGCCCCAGTTAATGTTGCCAAGTCTATTATCTGACAAACAGAAAATCAATCTGTTAAAACATATAAGTTCTGAGCCTGTTTCAAACATACTGGATATACTGAACTGGAAGTCCACATGTTTCTACCAAGGAAAATAGTACATTTTTTGTTAAGCCAATCAATTAAGACTTTTGGAAATATAAGAAAGATGTAGAAGGATGGGTGCACACCTTATCAACACCTTGGTTACAAGCATACACCAGAGCATCTGCTAGAGTAAGCCTACCCTCAGCATCTGTGTTGTTAACCTATACAAGAGGATTTGCCAACTTCATATTCTTAAAAAACACGCAAGGCCAAGAACTATATTTCTTCCATTATACTCCCTCTGTCCCATGTTATAAGCAAATTTCACTTTAAGATTCATTGAATAATTAATGTATCTGACCAAATACACTAATTATTCAATGAATCTAAAAAGTGAAATTTACTTATAATATGGGACGGGGGGAGTATAAATCCTATCTGCCAAAAATTGAGTTTGTTGACTGTTTGTATAACAAGTACTATAGTTCTACCATTATATAGATCTACTCAGACAAAACTTGTGTTTGTCGACTTACATTTGTATAAAATGTATTCATGTATTATTCTTGTGAAATATATGATTAACATAGATATGCAACTATACGCTTAGAATGATTCTGAAGGCTTGACAACCTTTGAGTAAGCTTTAAAAAAAACTGATTAACTGAAATATATTGGAATACTGTTGTTTAATTTATTTCAACATTCTTTATTAGCTCTTATCAAAAGTGTATGCATTACTTGCATTGTGTGTTGATTAATAAAGTGAAGTATAATGCACGATGTCATCACATGCAGAGGCTCCTTCTCATTTTGACTTGATTTGGACACTAATATGGTCGTGGTTTAAAGACAGAACATATGAATATATATCATATGGCTAAGATAACAAAGTTTAAATTCAACAACTACAATTTACTTTAACAATAGATGGATATGTATGAGTGGAGATCATTAGAAGTGAAGGATCAGTCTACTGATATATTATCATTTTAGTCATCACTCCTCACTTGCATTATTAGCCAAGCATAAATATAACACCGATATCCCTTTTGGACGCAAGAGTAGCCAGGAAAGCACATTATTAGCACGAGCAGAGTATTTTCAGGATTAGGAGTAGTATTAGTGCAATGAAGATCAGTGTTTAAGCCATTGTATCATCGTATGAAACTATAACCATATCATAATGTCCTTATTTGTTTCAACTCCCCACCTTCTTATCAACAATCCTTATCATACATTATCTTATAAAATTTAAAAAGATCACTTGTAATGATTAAAACAAAATCAAAATAGGCAAAAAAAAACATGTGTCAATGACATAAACATAAATATACACCCTCACCTCTATAGTTTTTCCATTTGAAGCTGTGAGAACGTCTCCAGGCCTCATACCTGTTCCACTAATCATATTCTCACAAGCTGCAACTATAAAATGAACCTGCACATGCAGAACATTTTGAACTTGGATATAAATTGAAATTTCTACTTTTTGCAAAAAGAACATCAGAGAGAAGAAATAAATAAGAACAGCCCTATCTATAAAATATTGTAAGGGAAAGAAGATGCACCAAAAAACATTGGCACTCTACTATAACCAAATACACCAAAACCATCGGCATAAACTGATCACTACAACAAAATTTTGGTCTTCAAATCTTTAAAAGCATTCAAGAGAAACTGCTACAAAAATCAAAAAACTGAATTCTAAAGGAAAGTAGCCACCCAATTTATATTTAACAGGGAAACAAAAAGACATTTAAAAATGAGTCAAAATTTATCTCCTTACATAGGCTCTTAACATTACTTTTAAAGTCTGAAGAATATCAATAAATTTAAATACCATTCTTGGAAATGTTAGAAGGATAAATTTTAATCAATAATTTAGAAGGACGGTGAAAAATTTCACAAATCAATAAATTTAGCCAATGCATATCAGTTCAAATGACAGGGAGTCCCGTAATCCTTAAGGGGGGAAGTCTTGGGTTTGGGTTTTGTTTTGAAAAGGAAAAAGTATAAAGGGTGATTTAAATAATATACCTCCACTCCAAGAGGTTTGATTTGTCCAAGAGCTTTTGCTGCTCCAAGAACTGCAGCAGATCCACCCATATCAAATTTCATGAGCTCAATCATACAGCCAGATCCGGTCTTTATGTTGTAGCCACCACTAATACAATAACATTAAAAAAAAGGATTAAAAAAAACTTATGCGTAGCATGTCAAAAAACCACGAGAAAGAAATTTCACTTACCCACCCTGTTCTATACTACAATAAAACTTCCTCCTCTAAACCACAATTCTCAACACATTTCTTTTTGATGTATCGAGCTATTGCTTATAGCAGCCTACCCATAAAGTTGTCCATATATTGAAGTTAAATAACCATCATATGACCTAACGTAATTATTACAATTTGAAAATACATAACATGAAATGTAAAGTGCAATTCAAATGGTAAGGACCCCGAGCCTCACAAAGCAGGTGAAGAGCAAATATTCAATGTGAAGTTTGAACATCAAGGGAGTGCTCGGATTAGAGAAAAATCAATTAAGTGGTTATTTAAAATGTTAGAACAGCAACCAGTATAGAAGATTAAAGATAAACAAAATTAAAAGACAATGGACGCGAAGCGGTATGGCCGGATACCATACGAAATTAGAAACATGGTTTTGGATATAACATTATGGCATAATTTAATCCATGTAGCCGACCCCACTTAGTAGGATATAACATTTGGCCGCTATAGCGGCTGCTACGCTGAACCACTCCTCTACTACATTTTGTGATACACCAATATTTGCATAGTTATACCCGGCTTCTAAGTGACTCTATCAGGGACGAACAACCATCAAACTAGACGATGGTATCAAACTAATTATCATAAAAGCAAATGGTCTAGTAAATTAGCATTCTAATTGGGAATAAAGTAGAATTATACTACTAGTTTCTAGAACTACGTGGTGCACCATACTCTTCAATGGATGATACATGCAAAACCAGTTTACTGTCAATCATGGACACTACCCTAAGAAATGACAAGTGTTTATTTGTGTGGAATCACCTCCATGAAAAAACATTTCTGACTGCACATTGTTTCAAACAAAAAAAGAAAGAGAAGCAAAAAAGGACCAAGTATATTGTATCAGTGACCAACAAAGTCAATCAGTAACAGGCTGGTATAAGCTAAAAATTTACACTGTGGGTAGCACATGAAAGAAATTTCACTTCATATTATTCATTCAATTTATGAGTTAAAGCTGAAATAACAATAGGCTTGGTTTTGGTTAGATTAACTACCTATCAAAAGTCAAACCTTTTCCAACTAACGCCAACTTGACATTGACAGGTCCAGTTGGAGGTTTATAATGCAGATGGATAAAATGAGGAGGATTTGCGGAGGCTGCAGCAACAGCCAGATAGGACCCCATTTTCAGTTCCTTACACTGTTCAGCATCCAATATTTTGGCAGTAAAAACATCACTATATGTTGAAGCAATCGTAGATGCTTCTTCTGCCAATACTCCTGAAGCATACAATTCATCAAGAACAAATTAAATATTAAAAAATGAAGTATCTCACACATGCAGCAATGAGTTTGTTTATTCAACTTCCTGGCCTATAAGCGCGAGCCTTATGAACCACCCCGTAGACGCATGTGAAATTTCAATTCAACTTTTAAACACCAGCAGTTACAACCCTTTGAATAGAAAAACAAGTTAAATCCTATGAAAATGCAGTTCTTGTCAAACGCTTACTAGTTCAATTCAAACAAATTATCAAATTCAGCAAACTTTCAATTCTAAAGCAAATTTGTAGGCCAGAATTTGCACTTGGTTTTGGCTTCAAAGGACATAGTTTTCACCAAATTTATTGAGTACTTGAAATCATTTTTATGAGAATAATGTATAATTATAACACAATAACACAAGTGTAGAGTCTAACAAGAAAACAAAACAGTGAAATTTTTAAGTAACAAACTTTTGCAAGATTACAATTTGACCTAAACTGTGAATTTTGATAACCTTGCAAACAAGCGAGTGTTCGACAGTTCATTATAAACCTTGCAAGATTACAGTTGACCTAAACTCTAGAGCTAAAAGTTAAAAACAATATCAGAAGTTTGATATGAACCTGGTGTGAGAACATTAGGTGGAGAATTTACAAGCTCCCTTCCAAGAAGGACTCCAGAAGAAACGTCTCCTGCATACTTAAGTTTCTTCTCCACTTCAGGCCCAGTTCCGAGACCAATAATGTCAACTGATTTAAGGAACGATTTCTTCGACTCCGTCTTGTACCTGGTATCCTCAAATGTTCCCAGAACGGTCCCTACCACAATTCATAAACATCCCAACCTTACACATAAACATACATCGTATACATACATACAACTTTAGAGGTAATTTGGCAATCATAGATAATTAGCTACTCGTTGGAAAATCAACAATGAGATTTAAGTCTTATTGTATAAACCGCTCAATAAATAGGTGAGTAAATTCCAGAAGGAACAATTCCTATAAACCGCCCAAGAATGATTCTGTCTTCTTCTTATGTAAATTATTAGAGATATAGAATTAGGAATTTTAAGCTCTATAGTTTTCTTTCTTTTGGGCCTCGGCCCTCTCTATAATTAAAAAAAAAACGTTGAAGTTTATTAAGTTAATTCTAACATTAACCAACTAACTTGTATATTTTTATTAACTCCCACAAACTCATAAAAAGAAAATACTTGATATATAAGTTTAGAGAATAAAATTAAACTAGAAACTGTATCTAAGTAGAAAAGAAATACCAGTGGCGATTGCAGAGGCAGTGTTAAGGGAAGATAGTCCTTGAGAAGAAGAAGCTAAAACGACAGCGACATGGACAGCCTGAGCGGACTTAGCAGCTGCAGCAACAGCCTCACCAAGGCCTTTAAAGGCGGCCGGACCAGAAGCAGAAGCTCCGAGGCCAAGCAAGGCGACTCTCTTGGATCCAATTCCAGCTGCAATTCGGAGAACCGTTGACTGTCCAACTTTTCCGGCGAAGTCCTCTTCGAACGAGGCTTCAGCTAATAACCCGCCCAATTTGGAGTCCAGCGCGCTCAAAATTGGATTCTGGAATCTGGACTCGTCGTCCCTAGCTACGTCCTTTTCCGTCACGGCAACGGCTAAGAGGTCCCCTTTCCACTCCGCCGCGTCAGTATCCTTCGCCGTGAAAGAGAGCTTCATTTTCACAAACACAATTTAGGCATTATAAGTCATGCAAAATTAAGCGTAAGCATTAGGTTTGTGGGAGGGACCTTGGGGGTTTCCTTGATGGAGGGGTGAGTGAAGCCGAGAGTGGCGCGAGCCACGAGGCTGCGGAGAGGTACTGCGGTGGTAGAAAAAAGACGCGGTGGTGATGAAGCAGACCTTAAAGCGAGTGTTCTGATGAAGAGACGAGACGAGCAGAAGGAGGAAGAAAAGACAAGTGAAGTAGTAGATGAGGCTGCTGCCAAGCATGCCATTTTTGGTTTCAATACACACTATCTTTCTTTCTTTTTCTTCTACAAAACTTATCCATCTTTCATTTTTTTTTTTTCTTCTACAAAACTAATCCATCTTTAATTTTATTTTTTTTAAATTGAGTCGATTATGAAACCGGTGAGGATAGTGATTTACAACTAAATCCGTATAGGATGAAATTTATTATACTAATAAAAAATATTTTATAATTACTTATGATGTGAAATTTGTTGGAAATCCAACTAATACAATGATGAATTTCGACCAAATGATTAGTTATAAGAAAAACAAATAATAGAAGACAAGATAAATATTTCTGCAGAGTTTCTCTTTGTCCACAAACTGTGGAAAAACTTTCTTAATCAAAAACTTTCTTAATCACTTGCAACTGCAAATTCTGTGATTACAATGAATTGTCTTGCTTGACTTACTTTCAAAATAGGGGTTACTCCCTCTATTTATAACTGAGCTTACACCCTAAGCCCAAGGCCCAAAATATCTTTTTGTTACTAAATCAAATCAAATCAAATCTATTCTGAACTTAAATCAAATCTATTTAAATCTAAAATAAATCAAATCTTCTTTGACACTATGAATTACAATTTAACACACCACCTAATTCATTGTGTCTAAACTGTCTATGTTCATCATGGCTCTTAGCTTTCTGAATACTTCGACTTGCACTCCCTTCGTCATGATGTCTGCAATCTGATTCTCAGTTCTGCAGTGTTCCAAATTCATCTTCCCATCTGCTACCTGCTCTCGAAGATAATGGAATCTCATTTCGATGTGCTTACTTCGACCATGTGTTATTGGGTTCTTTGCCAGATTAATAGCTGACATGGTGTCTATCTTCATGGTAATTGCTCCATGATTTTTCCCTGTTATCTCTTCGACCAAGTTCACCATCCAAGTTGCTTGACATGCACAAAGAGAAGCAGCTGTGTATTCTGCTTCGCATGATGATAATGTCACTACTGGTTCCTTTCATGAATTCCAAATAATTGGTGCACCACCTAGCATAAACACATATCCTGCTGTTGACTTTCGATCTTCAGCATCACTACACCAACTCGAATTAGTGTATCCCACTAACTTGTATTCTTTTCCTTTATCAACTGCAGGAAACAAAATGCCATAATCGAAAGTTTCTTTGAGATACCTTAGTATCCTCTTCACTGCTGCTAGATGTGATACCTTTGGCTTCTGCATAAATCTACTTACCATACCTACACTGTATGCCAAGTCAGGCCTTGTATGACAAATATATCTTAATGATCCAATAAGTCTTCTGTATTGGGTTGGATCAACATCATCTTCATCCGCATCTTTTGACAGTTATAGTCTTGGTTCTACAGGTGTCGAAGTTGAGTTGCATTCTTCCATCTCAAATCTCTTGAGAATTTCTCCTGCATATCTTCTTTGATGCATCATCAAACCTCTACTACTCTTGTAGAATTCGATACCAAGGAAGTATGAAATCTCACCCAAATCAGACATTTCGAATTGCTTACTGAGATCACCTTTGAAGTCTTTGATCTCACTCTTGCAGCTACCTGTTATCAACAAATCATCTACATAGAGACATAGTATAAGCAATTTACTCTTGCTTCTTCTTACATATACTACATGTTCAGTTATGCACTTCATGAATTCCTTATCCCTTAGAAAACTATCAATTTTCTTATTCCAAGCCCTTGGAGCTTGTTTCAATCCATACAGGGCTTTATGTAGCCTGTACACCTTTCTTTCTTCGTCATGTTTCACAAACCCAACTGGTTGTTTAACATAGACTTCTTCATCTAAGGGTCCATTTAGGAATTCACACTTCACGTCCATCTGACATATGTGCCAACTGTTGATTTCTGCTAGACTAACAACCAACCTGATTGTTTCGATCCTAGCAACAGGTGCAAAAACTTCGTCGAAGTCTATTCCTTCTTTCTGTAGAAATCCTTTCGCCACAAGTCTTGCTTTGTGTCGAGTTACTTCACCTTTCGAATTTGTTTTCACTTTGTATACCCACTTGACATCAATTGCCTTCTTACCTTGAGGCAATTCGACAAGTGACAAAGTGTTGTTGTCTTCGATAGACTTTACTTCTTCGTTCATTGCTTTCACCCACTTCGAATCTTTTAATGCTTCAGCTGCATTAACAGGTTCGACATCTTCATAGAAAGCATAATGTACCAGCTCACCTTCATTATCTATTACATCATCTGATGTAATCACACAATCTTGCAATCTTGCAGGCATGTGTCTTGTTCTTTGAGGTCTGCTTGTACTTGGTATATCTGCTGGTTCCTCTTGTAGAACTTCTCTTTCGACTTGAGTTTCTTGCTCTTCGAATAGGATTCCCACTGAATCTTTCTTGACATTTGCAGTCCAATCCCATTCTTTAAACTCATCTATGATCACGTCCCTGATGATCACAATCTTCTTATTCTCTGGATCGAACAACTTGTAGCCTCTTGTCAAATGATATCCAACTAGGATCATTTGACTTGACTTGTCATCAAGTTTTCTTCTCAACTGATCTGGCACATGTCTATGTGCAATAGATCCAAATACCTTCAGATGACTCAAGCTAGGCTTCGCACCAGACCAACATTCTTCTGGAGTAATTCCTTCTAGCTTCTTTGTAGGACATCTGTTCAAAATGTATGTTGCAGTCGAAACAACTTCACCCCAAAACTCTTTAGGTAAACTCTTGCCTTTCAACATACTTCTCACCATATTCATGATGGTTCGATTTTTCCTTTCTGCAATTCCATTTTGTTGTGGAGTATAGGGTGGCACCACCTCATGCATAATCCCTTCCTTTTCACATAATTTGTTGAAGTCTTTCGACACATATTCTCCTCCACCACCAGTTCTCAAAACTTTGAGCTTTCGACCACTTTGTCTTTCGACCATAGACTTAAACCTGGTAAATACTTTGATCATTTCACTTTTCTTCTTGATCAGGTAAGTCCATAGCTTTCGACTGAAATCATCTATGAATGTAACAAAGTATTTGTTACCTCCCATCAAATCCACTTGGATTGGTCCACATACATCAGAGTATATGACTTCAAGACTAGCCTTCGATCTGCTTCCTGCATCCTTGCTGAAGCTATTCTTGTGTTGCTTCGCCTGCACACATTCTTCACATACTTCGTTTGGAATGTCAATTTCAAGCAATCTTGAAACCATATTTCTTCTTTTCAAATCTCTGATGTCTCTGAAGTTGAGATGACCTAGTTTATAATGCCATATCCATTCATCTCTGCTAGCTGCAGTCGAAAGGCACTTGTGCTCCATCACATTTAGTTCAATCTTGAAGGTTCGATTCTGAGACATAAGAGCCTTCAAGATTAATCTCCCATTTGCATCAACGACTCTCATCAACTTATCTTCGATTGACACTTTATAATTCTTTTCGACCAACTGCCCTATATTGAGCAAATTGCTCTTCATGCCTGGTATGTACAATACATTTGAAATTACTGATTTCTTGCCATCTTTCCTCATGATCATAACATCACCAATACCTTCAGCTGCTAGGGTATTGTCATTTGCAAATTTTACCATATTTTTCGTTGAGGGTTTTATATTGACGAACCAGTCTTTCCTTCCAGACATATGTGATGAACATCCTGAATCCAAGTACCATTGGTCCTTGAATCTATCTTCATCCCTTGTTGTGACCATCAGCATCATCTCTTCTTCTTCTTCATGTTTTGCATGCTTTGCATCACTTTCTTGATTCTTTCGTTTTTCTGGACAATCACTCGAATAGTGACCATACTTTTGACAATTGTAACATTGAATGTGACTCTTATCAGGTTTTCGACCACCACCTCTTCCTTTATTTGCAACACCACCTCTTTGGTTGCCTTGGTATAGTCTTCTTTGATTCGACACGTCTCCTTCGATTTGGTTTCTTCTACCATTTGATTTGTTGTAGCCACCTCTACCTCTGTCGAAACACTTTCCTTTGCCTTTGGTCTCTTTTGCTGCATGTGCCTGCAAGGCCATATCACTCTTCGATTTTCCTGCAGCTCTTTCATTCATTCTTTGTTCATGAGATTCGAGCGTCCCTTGAAGCTCTTCCTTTGTCAATTTCGACAAGTCTTTTCCTTCTTCTATCGCCACCACTATGTGGTCTAACTTAGGAGCTAAAGATCTCAAGATCTTCGACACAACAACTCTTGTTGTTAACGCTTCTCCACATATCTTGATTTGATTTACTAGTTTTGTAACTCTAGTGAAGAAATCAGATATGTTTTCACTGTCTTCCATCTGAAGCAGTTCATGGGTCCTTTTGTGAGTTTGTAACCTCACTTCTTTCACCTTCTCAGCGCCTCCAAAAGACTTCTCAAGGATCTCCCAAGCTTCTTTTGCAGATTCTGAATCACTAATCTTTTCGAAATTGTCTGGGCTGACACATTGATGAATTATAAATAATGCTTTATAACTCAGCTTCTCAGATTATGTGTATTTCTTCTTTTCTTCTTCTGAAGCGTTTTCGCCAAGCGCTTCAACTCCATCTTTTACAAGGTCCCAAAGACCTTGACACCTTAATAGGACTTTCATCTGTTTGCATCAATTCTCATAGTTGTCAACTTTCAGAATTGGCAGCGTTGCTGGATAGTTTGCATTCCCATAACTTGTCATCGTGAATTCTTTAATCGTTCTTGATTGATACTTCTCTTGAATCGAAATAAAAGCTCTTGATACCAGATGTTGGAAATCCACCTAATACAATGATGAATTTCGATCAACTATGATGATTAGTTATGAGAAAAACAAATAATAGAAGACAATATAAATATTTCTGCAGAGTTTCTCTCTGCCCACAAACTGTGAAAAAACTTTCTTAATCACTTGCAACTGCAAATTCTGTGATTACAATGATTTGTCTTGCTTGACTTACTTTCAAAATAGAGGTTACTCCCTCTATTTATAACTGAACTTACACCTAAGCCCAAGGCCCAAAATATCTTTTTGTTACTAAATC